AGGTGTAGTAAGAAATAATTAATGTCTTCAGTCATATATCAAAAGATATACAAAGATATATTAAACATCACTGTAAATAAAAAACAACAAGTATTCACCATCATCTTTCATTGTTGAATTGTTTATTTTGTACATGTATGTCTGGTCATTTGTTTTGTAAGCTTGACCAGCCAGGTTATTTCTATACATGTATACAATGTACATAAATATTATAAATATATGTCATTACACTAAGTCATTTTTAGCTCACCTGAACATAAAGTGCCCAGAGGTCAGCTCTTGTTGTAGCATGATTCCATTGTTAGTATAAAATGCACTGTCCTTAATTATCTACAATTTCTTAAAACAACATCCAAAGGAATATGATCTGTGGGTGACCCTGTACAAAAGTATGGTTCCATGAGTAGGCAGCTCTGGAGCTTAAAATAGACTTACTTTAAATGGCATTTACAAATTGATAAAGCAAATGATTACCCGGTATGTCAATCATCTATTACATACTAGCCCCCACACATATTCCTTAAAGTGTTTAAGATTAATACAAATGTATACAGATTTCATGAATTGCATTATTGTCCTTTAAACTGTTGAAGAGGCAAAAAAAATCCAGTTTTGTTATTTTTTATAAGATCTTTCTAATTCAGCATAAAGTGGGTTTCCTTATGTTATTGTAAAAAAATTCAAGAAATGTTTTTCCTCTTAACTTTATGTCATAAAAAATCTGTTAAATTTTCCTGGGAAAAAAGTTCTTAGATTAAGCATGCAGTTTAGATTGGTAACTTGCTGTTAATTTATGAGGTTTAGGGAGTGAAAAAAGGGAGCAAAAATGACACAATCTTAACTTGCAAACTTCTATCTTTCATCATATAGGAGTGCTTATCTGTTACAGAAGTTAAGTGTATTGTCAGTGATATATGATCATGCTAGCACTTTAATATCAGCTCTTTTAGAGTGCCAACTGAAATAAATGAGGCATAATGTGTCACATTTATAGAGCTTTAGGACCACATGCATCCACACGGACACAGTCTCATCTGACATGTGTCCAGAGTGTTGGCTGCTAAGTTTTATTGTTTTGCAATGATGACCTTTTCTTTTTCCAATTAATTTAATTATTATAATGATGGCCCCCCCCCCCCCCCTTTAGATTAATAATGTACAACCTGACCCTAATTAATCAGTTAAATGTCCTACAAACCCCTAGTTAATGCACCAATTAGATGTCAAACCAGTCCCTATAAACCATGTAATACCTAAGACAGTGACTTTAAGAGTTTCAAATCCCTGGTTAATTTAAGGCCCTGTCCTTCAGGGACCCAGTCAGATGATACAATCTTCTTTAGATGTCCCCACACGGATATATAGCCAACACTATTTTTTATGCCTGAAGCAAAACCAGTCTGCATTGACCAGGCATTACAGAGACAGACTGCACTTTATATCTAGGTAAAAACCAAATAATTTCAAACCCCCACAATACCTCCTGCACATCCAATGGCAGTGGTTACAATTGGCTTGTCCACATTGTATAAAAGTTAGCAATGAACACTTGTAAAGTTGAAGCGGTACATGTCCATCTACGCAAATACAGGATTAAGATGAGGGTAAAAATTATGTGATTTTTGAAATCTTTATTGCTGAAAAGATTAGGCTAAAAGATTTGTTGTTATTTTGATACATATTCCGATGGCTTCAAAATATATCCCAAAGGATTAGTGTCATGTGACCTAGAGATAACTATTGTGTTTATAAACCATTTAACCCATAATCAAATCTCGATCAGAATTACTATGAAAACAAGAATTTTTCAAATATTGAACATTTAGACAAAGATTTATCAAAAAAACATCTTATGGAAAGGAAAACATATTATTTACTCCCTGCTTACCATCCCAGTATATGTTTCTAGGGTATTCTGGTGTATGCCAGGGAATTTTGCATGGTATGAAGAAAGGGGGGAATAACATAATGTCTGTTAAAAAAACAAACCCTTCTGTTAAATATTGAATATTTCATTTTCAATTAATTTAATGTTTTCGTTTTTATTCTTTTTCAAATTTAGTATCCCATTCATTCAGTTTCTACTGAGTTCCCTTTATTCTACCCTTCTACTCTGTTCTATTCATTCTCCCCTTCTTATCTCTGTCCCATTCATTCAAATCTGTCCCATTTATTCTAACCTATTCCATTCTTTCTACTCTGTTCCCTTCTTTCTACTTTGTTCCATTCATTTTACTCTGTCCCATTCATTCTATAACCCTGTTCCATTCATATTACTCAGGTTCCTTCTTCCTACTCTGTCCCAATCATTCTACTCTGTTTTATTCATTTCGACACTGTTCCATTCACTCTACTCTGTCCCATTCCTTCTACTCTGTTCCATTCATTCAATTCGGTTCCATTTGTTCTACTCTGTTCCTTTTATTCAACTCTTTCCCATTCGTTCTTCCATGTTCCATTCATTCTACTCTGTCCCATTTGTTCTACTCTGTCCTATTTGTTCTACTCTGTCCTATTTGTTCTACTCTGTCCTATTTGTTCTACTCTGTTCCATTCATTCTTCTCTGTTCCATTCATTCTACTCTGATCCATTTGTTCTACTCTGATCCAGTCATTCTACTCTGTTCCATTCACTCTATTCTGTTCCATTCATTCTACTCTGTTCCATTCATTCTACTCTGTTCCATTCATTCTACTATGATCCATTTGTTCTACTGTGTTTTATGCTATTGTCAGACCTGTCCTTTGTAATTTCCTACTCTGTCCAGGCCAAATTAGGTTATGAAGAAAATACTCAAGCTGAAACTCAGATATTTGATTGGTCAGAAACTGTCACAGAATGTACACTGACCAATGAAAATCCTGATATTTGAGATAGAACTCGGAAAAAAGTTTTATGACCTCAAGGCCTGGTTCTAAATTTTTCTTTCCTCCAAGGAGGGGGAAACAAAAACTGTTAAAATTGTTCATCTTATAGATTGATACATCTGTCTGCTATCATCTCCAAGACAGATGGGAATGGTAAGTGTTTCTTATTACCTCTTGTAAGGTCTACTAAATCAAAGTAGATACAGACAAGATTATGTCAAAACATACAATATGCATTTTCTCATGGTTTCACTCAACTATTTAGGAGCTGATGCTTTGTTATTTTTGGTATGAAACATAAAGAAAAATTTCTTCCTTTTTTCCCTCGTGTGGAAGAAAGGGGGAAGTATGAAATTGATAAGATCTGTGGATTTTTTTATAGAAACTGGCACCCTTTTTTATAAGAATTTGAAAGAATGCATAAACTATACCAGTAGAAAGAAGATAGAAGTCTCTTTCATGTTGCAGAATTCTGAAATAGAAATTATGAATTCCGAGATAAAACTGGTTTTATTTAGTATTAGGAAAACAGTATATCCTTTCACTTGTTAGATAAAGGTTTATATAATATTGTTTACATTAATGAATGAACCAGATTTAGCTCTCCTGTAAAAAAATATTTGCGTAGAGTTTTTGCATTTTGTCCGCTTAATTACTTATAATATGGGTATAAATTATAGCTATTATACTTATTTATGTAATAATGAATGTTAAATGGTAGTTATTATTCAGGATTGAGTATAAATTTTTCATTCAACACAACACATAGGTAATGCTCAGTATTGTTTCCTGTAATTTTATTTTTCAGTCTCAACTAATTTTAAGTTTCTTACTTACACATATACACTTTTTTAGCACCTACATATTATGATGTAATTACGTCTCAGATTCCTATTTCTAATTACAATGTAATAAAGAGATATAAATTAATTAGCACAAAGATGTGTAAAGGCACTAATTGAACAGAAAGTGATTAGCCTTGCCATCTGGGTATAGAGCCAGGCCAGCCTGCACAAGCTTTGCCACCTGGGTATAGAGCCAGGCCAGCCTGCACAAGCTTTGCCACCTGGGTATAGAGCCAGGCCAGCCTGCATGTCTGTCCAGTCTGACCTGAGGCTGTGTACTATTAGAAATTGAAGATGGAGAAAATCAGCAAGTTAAGGGTAAAAAATAGATTATTTCTGCCCAATGACATACTTGTACATAATCTGATGTTCTTATTTAATTTTCAGATGACATAAAAGTTTACTATCAGTTACCATCCTAAACAAAGCAAATTATTAACAAAATGTGGTGTTCACATTTTTGATTGATTCTATTATAATTCCTCATAGTGACAGTTAAATTTCAAAACTGTCAATTGAACATGAATAAATAATGAACTAAGGTATCAGCCAATGATTTATTCAAGCAGATCTGTTATAATACATTATATTAGAATTGAGTCACAAATTATATCACGATGTTCTCCGAAATAAACGGCTTCTTTGTGATACAAAGCTGTTATGAAAATTGAAGTTTTCATTAAGATTTTTTTTTGCAATACAGAGTGTGCATTGGAAAGTTTGAAAATAGAATTTGTTTTTACAATGCCGTGCTTTGAAAATTAAGTTGTTTTTGGGTTTATTTTTTTTTTTTATTTTTTGCAAATTATTTTTTGGACTTTAACTTTCAGAAGTTCATCTAGAAAGAATATAAAACTGAGTATTAATGCTATGTTATGCCAGCTCTGTCAGGCCCTCACCATGGATGCAAAATTGTACCAGCATTAATTAGTTTAACAAACTTTTTACTCTTACTAAATATATTTGTAATGATGAAGTGGGTCACCTTGCAGTGATGGTGGGGATGGTAGAGACTTCAGTGACTTCAATGGTTAATCTTTTCTGCAGAACTTTGAAGCTTTCATGATCCCACCTGCTAAGTTGATTTTTTTTTTCTTTTCATTTTGTCAGGAAGCTGTTGTGTTGTTAGCTTACAGGAAGTCGGTGGCTTGCTGTGCCTTTAAAGAATACTGTACTGTATACAAATCAAATCTGAAACTAAAGTGTCCAGGGCAAATTTTTGTTTCTTTGTTTTTTTTCGGTTTCTTTGAAGAAAAAAGTGAAATGTATTTTTATTTGTATTTTCAGGTGTTAAACGAATAACAAGTCACTGTCCAGCGGACCACTTCACATGTTGGAACCAGCAATGTTTACGACTAGACTGGGTCTGTGATGGTGACAATGACTGCGGGGATGACTCCGATGAACTCATGTGTCGTAAGTCATTCTTTTTTATTCTCATTACAGAATGAAATAAGACTTAATTTACTGAGTCAAATTGAGAATTTCACTTCACAAAATCGTATTTCACTATTCTGTGCATTGCCTCAGTTTAAATATGTAAATTTATTTTGTAAGTACAACACAGTTGTTATAAATTATTTTAAGCTTAAAGCTATATTTAAACCACACTTAAATAATCTTTCTAGAATCAACCAGTGTTAGGTTGTTTGAAAAGAAAAAGGTCATGACCTTTAAGTTTGATGCTTGTTTGAGACTTGAGTCTATGATCCCTAGGTTGAGAGGCAGACACTTTAACCACTTACAATCATTATATTCTTCAGTGTCACCAAAGAAACAAATACAATTCATGTAAATTAAATTAAAATTCTCATTTTTTTTTTCATTGGTCTTATTAAGTGCTAGAAGTAACAAAGCCTGAATGTTTTTATTTTCCATTTAATATACTTTCTTGCATATATAGTTTACTTGTATTTTAAATCAGTAAATGTGTATATAAAAAAATAATTCATAAGGGTCATTGACACACATTTTTTTACGGCATATCAATATTGATTTCGGTTAAAAGAACAAAGTAAATATTGTTTAATGTTTAAATTTGAAGTAGCATTAGTTACAGCATGGTTTCCATAATTACAATATCAGTGTCGGTGATAAAATAGTGTCGGTATACTATTTCTCTATATAGAATGTACTAAATATATACTTATTATAGTAACCATTAAATATCCATTTTCTTCTAATTTCAAAAAAAGTGAACTAATATTTTGAACAGGAAGTCAACAATGTGTATTACCACTAATTAACAGTAAAGGTTTTCTGTATTATTTTGCAACTTTTTAAGTGAAGAGATCTCCCTTGAAGTTCAGGGAAAGAGGTTATTCGCTGAAACTCAGATCACAGGTATTTGATTGGTCAGATAAAACTTGCACAGAATGTAAACTGGCCAATGAAAATCCTAAGCTTTGAGACTAAACTTTACTTGAAAAGTTTCATAACTTTGAGGTCAGTTATTGTAAAAATTGAAATTTGAGTATTTTTACTTTCATATCAGTTAGCTACATTTGGCATTTAGTTTAAACAAATTTGATTGCATGAAATACATGTAAAATATACGATAACAAAAAGCAAATAGGTTTGGCAACAAGTTCGAGCAACACTGAATTGAGCCCTTCCCAGAATATATGGCATTTTGGTATAAGTTCTATGGTAAAATTGACATTTGAATTAAATAGTCCTTTATTTCAAAAGTAACAATTACAATGTTTTGCTGCTTTATTCAATTTTATTCATACCAGGATATGATTCCTATATAAATTGACAAAAAGTTCTCAGTAATTTTGCATAAAAAAGCCACAAAACAAAAATGAAATTCAGCATTTTTGTTACCTTTTTGTCTTTGGGAAGAAATGAATTCAGGATTTTGTGAGACTTTTTTTTATACAAAAAAAAAGATAATAAAAAAGAACTGGAAATTTCAGTTTTTTCTGCAAGTCTTTTTCCTATAAAAACTAAATTCTGTACATATTTCCATTAACTATTCATAGCTTTCAACTCTGTTTTTTTATCAACATAGTTACATTTGCATTAACTCAAATCATCCTGTTTAAAACATTTTGCAAGAAAAAATGTGACAGAAAAGAAAGTAAGGTATTTTACAGAGAGTCTGTTATATCACTGTGATATATTGCAGTGGTGAAAAACTGTTAGTTGTCATGTTTTCTGACTGTTTGTGTGTTCTCAGATTGTTTTAAATGTTGCTGATGTATTGAAAATTCAACATAACAAAACTGTTATAGTTGTCAATTGTTTTCTGACTTTACATTGTATTTTTGTTCTGGTATCTAATGTATCTGCATCTTTTAAATGTTGGCTGTTACATTGAAAATTCAATGTAACAAAGCTGTTATTAATCATTTCATTGAAGGACTGGAACATGAATTATTACAAAGTTTGAATTTACCATTGATATATTATAGTTTTTGAACTCTATCAATGAAGACTTTGCAGAAATATGCTATATATCAGAAAAGAACAAAATATATTTGATATAAAGAACTCCTCATAGATAAGTTTGAAAGTCTTGGTCCAATTGTATCAAAACTGGTCATATAATAGTCAGATAAGGGTAAGATATCATTCAGATTCTGGTAATATTCGGTCTGAACAGGTCATATATTAGTAACTGTAAGAAAGTCATAATTTTGCCCTCATTTCGAAATTTTCAATACTAGTATATACCGTTTTTTAGTCAAGTCGATCTTGCCATACATGTGTATAAGTCAGAAACCTACCATAAACAGTAGAAATACACGCAAATTATATCCGTCAGAAAATTTGCTATATATATCAAGCAATAACTGACCATATATCAGTCTAAAACACCATAATGATATAAGTCAAAATGGCACCAAATTATATCAGCCAGATAATCATAACCATACATCATATATCAATGAGTCGGAAACTGAATAATATCCACTTTAGCTCATAAATATGCTATATATCAACAAAGAATTTGCCATATATTATATATCAGCCAGAAAGTCACCAATATATCAGTAAAAAAAAAGTAAAAATAAAAATTCTTGTCTGTCAGACACTCAAGAAAGATGTACAAAACATCTACACAACAATCTAAATTGATGTAATTTTCTGACATAATGGTGTATGATGCAACTGCTGAGCTCTGGCACTGGTATCTGTGGCATGCTGGGTATTGAAGTGGGTTGACTGTGGTTTATATGATAGGTAACAAAATCATTATGTAAGTGCTCTGTAAAAATGATGATCTTTATCTGTTAGACAAGACACACACAAAAAACCTACTGCATATTTTGTTGTATTTCTACTTTGTTGTTTATATTTTTGCTACAGAAATTCCTCCTTAGCTGCATATTTCACATTTAAAAGAAAATTGGTTGAATTTAGTGTTAGGTCAATGACTAAAACATGCATGTCTGTTTTTGAGGTAACACATACAAAAACAATTGAGGTAATTCAAGCACAAAAACAATGGTTTATTAAGTTGTTCTTCTCGTTTTAGCTTCGTATAATACTGAGAGTTTTTCCTGATTTTATAATGGAGCCATACTATCAGTAACCTCAAAATTTATTATCTTTATCATAATTATTCTCTTCCTATACTTGGTAATTGTATATTACAAATAATACATTTAGTATTATATATATTATGTTCTTTTTGATAAAACTAAATTGCTTATTAACATAATAAGTCACTCGTACTTAATGATACACAATTGCTATGATGTTACCATGCACTCACAATTTTTACTTTTGACTTTTGTGCACTTACCCCCACACTGTTGAGAATGTTACAAAAGGCTTCTTTCATGTGGGGAAGTTCTCCGCCTATTTACCAATCATATGCTTCTCTCGGAGGAAACTTTTAACCATAGGTTTACAGAGGGCATAAAGAGTCATAATTATACCAGAAAAATAGTAGTACATACAAGATGGAATCATTGGATAACATTCTAACAGTAAAACAATAAGTTTGTCATGCATGTATGATCTGTGCTTTACTTTTATCTATGTGATTTGAACAAAGAACCTACTATCTCTGTCCCATTTTTTTCAACCGCCCACAAGTCCCTCCCCCAGAAAAAAATGAAACAAAAAAAAAAAAAAAAAAAAATATTGAAAAATGTATTTTGTGACTTGAACAAAAAAAAAACACAGTTGGCTTTCACCATCAGATTATCCTGAAAGTTCATTTCACACCTAGATAATGTCAGATTAACTTGCAGATGAAGAAAAATGGCAGAGCATAAAAAAACCCACTAAAAAGCCATCAATATTGATAATGTTTTCTGTTGTGAATGTTGCCACCTTTTAACATACTTTAACACCAGTGAAAAATGACAACAGACGTTACAGCTGCAAAATGTATGCATTAAAAGATTGCTTGTTACACATTGTTAAGTTAAATGATGTAAAATTACGACTTTGGCATTCTAAGGCACCCCCCCCCCCCCCCCCCCCCCCCTCAGCTTCCGTGCTGATTATGAATGGCATTCCTGGTGTAATTGTACCTTTCTCCGAGCCTCAAAATATATTACCACTGCTGGTAATTGGCTGGGTAATAGATGTAAATTTTGTCAAAGGTTAACATTTGCATATGTTGTAAGTGTATCAAAATGGCAAGTGTGCAACATGGAGTTTTATGAGCTGTTTTAGAGTAAGGCTGATAGATTAAAATTGCAAGAAGGAAACTGTTGTGCTATTAAACAGGCATGTAATATGGAAATTGAATTATCTGCAGTTTTTTTCTCTTTCTTTATTATGTTCAAAGGCAAACTGAATTAAGAGTAAAAATGCCATTGTATTGTTTTTATAAAGTAGCTATATTTATAAGAACAAAGAGAATTCCAGAGCTGATAAAAATTACCGTAATGAATAAACCTAAATGATTTCGCTGTTAAGATGTGAATGTGAGTGTGGAAGAAATAAAGAACGCAAATGAAGACAATTTGTAACAGAAACAAAGCTTTTGTTGAGTGAGTGAATAAAATAAAAACAATTAAGTACCAAAGGCCATGTTTTCAAATTAATTGGATAAAATGGTTACTGTTATGTTGAAGATATCTGAGTATTTTCTTAAAGTTTATTTCTTTAAAAAACAATTGTATTTAAATTAAGGTTCTTTTCTTATCTTTTAGTATGTAAAAGTAAATTTAACAGTAACCCCAGGGTTTCATGGATAAATTATTTGGAATTTGTAATAAAATATTATTAGTCATATCCCATAGAATTATACAAACATTTTAATAAAGTTAAGTGTAAGAACTAACTTAATGTTTCTTTCTTCACCTATTAAAATAGCCAAAGTCATTATTTAGAAGACCACAGATATAAAAATAAAACTTAAAAGTATCTTTTATCAGATTAAATACTTACCTACCAATAATTAACCAAACAGTTTATTTAATGGTATATTTTATTGTGTATTTGGTTAATCATCACTTTCGTTGAAAATAAATGCTTGGAAATTGCGGCATGCTGTAAGGGAATGACTGTAGCTTGCCACTTTGCCAGTGATACCATTATAGAACCACCTGTGAGCCTGTACTGCCGGTACTACCGTGCAATCATACCTTGGGCTGCTTTTAGCATAAAAATGTATTTTTAAAGCCCTAAAATATTCACAATTGACCAATGAAATATAGATATCTTCAAGTTTCTGAATGCTAGGTGTTATTATAATTTGACAGTCGCAATGGCATAGATGCAGACCAAATTGAAGTTCCAGCAACTTTCTCATTTGATAAATAAACAGATTTGCTCACACACATTGTTTTATCCCATTTGTTTAAATATTTTACAGCACCAAAGAACTGTACAGAGGAGGAGTTCCAGTGTAACAATGGTAACTGTGTTCTAACAAAATGGCGTTGTGATGGAGACGACGACTGTAGAGATGGTTCTGATGAACACTGTGGTATGTACATACACCTTATTAAATCTTATATATTTACATGACTGACTTTGGGCAGCTGGAGTGGTTAAGTTATTTGACTTGGAACCGTACACCTTATCAAATCTTACATACATTTAGTAGGGCTAAAGTGGTGAAGTTTTTTGACATTGAACCTTTGGTATCATATCACTGTGCAATAGAATCCTGCCAAAGTCTTTGGCTTCTTTCATGTGAGGAAGCTATCCAGACAGCTTATGAAAGATCAATGGCTCTACTCAGGTTCTATTTAAATACCTACTTGAGCCTGAAACATTGAACAGAGGTGGAATGCCACAGTTTGTCCTTGACACTTTGGGTGTCAAGTAAACCCCAACCAGAAAAAAGAAAAAAAATTGTGTAATTGTTACAAGGCTTTTGCCACCAGTATAGGGCCAGGTTATCGCTGTTTTTAGAGCTATATTCAAATTAACGTTGGAAAGTTCAACTGTATAGTTTTGTTATTAAAAATAAAGGTAAAGAGAAATGATATGCTAACTATTTTATAACTGATTTATCATCGAACCTACTTTGTTTGACATATTATATCATAGGGAATGGAATTTATGATGTAAGGATAACAGGTTTATTACCTAAGGTTTTCAATAATTATTTTATAAACCTTCAATTTGTTTGGTATTCTTGAAATGTCAATTTGTCATCTTAATGTATTTTTGATAGGTTTGATTTTTGAGAAGAATGTGAAATGATGTATGATGTATGAGCCGCGCCAAGACAAAACCAACGTTATGCGTTTGCGACCAGCATGGATCCAGACCAGCCTGCGCATCCGCGCAGTCTGATCAGGATATATGCTGTTCGCTTACAAACCCTATAACAAGTAGAGAAACTGATAGCGAACAGCATGGATTCTGATCAGACTGCGCAGGCTGGTCTGGATCCATGCTGGTCGCAAACCCATTATGTTGGTTTTGTCGTGACGCGGCTCATATTATTAAATGTATATTGTATAATTTAGCTGTCTTAAAAAATATACTACAATTTGATGTGAACGTATAATTAACATGACAATTAACTAATATCAGTGGTATAAAATAGGAGCACCTGCATCTAAGGTGACGATGTTAACATCTTTATTACAGGAGAAACTTAATTAAAACAATGTTTGTTGGTATGTCAAGTTACATACACAATTGTATGTTTTACTTTGGATTGGTATCTTGACAATAGTTTTGACACAAGTTTTGAGAGACAGGAATCTTAAAATATGCATTTGACAAGACAAGTCTGTTTAAGTTTAGGGTACAACAAATGTAAAAGCTTCAGTAATTTGTTTTATATGGTAAAGAAAGTCCATGAAATGGATACAAGGCCAAAAAAAGAAATATTTTTGCATCTAAAATGTCCCAAGATTTTTTGAGATTTTGAGTTACTTGCCCATTGTATCTGAAGCATTTCTTTACTTGTCTGTTTTATATTTTGTAAAGTTAATTCTTGGAATAATTTGACTTGCTTGTACAAGCTCTTGGATAACCTCGGCAATACAGACAATTGATTTTGCTGCCTTTTCAGAATGGCATCAAGTTTATTATAATATTACTCAAAATCAATTCATAAATTTTTTTCAATTCATTAAGGTTCGTACTCAATATTGATGTGCTTTTATTTCAGATCATAAGTGTAGCCCTGGTCAGTTTAAATGTGCAGGTGATGGGTCGTGTATACATAAATCCTGGGTGTGTGATAAAGAGATAGATTGCCAGGATGCCTCTGATGAGGCCTCATGTGGTGAGTTGACAGTTGTCTCCCTTTGTAGCTTGTATGCTCAAATAGTCATTTCTGTTTAGATGTTAGAAAAAGTTGTTTCTTTTCAGGTTTTACAGAATTTTTACTATTTGATTAAAATTAACAAACAAGCCACACCAACAGGAACATATAGCTATTTAATGTTCGCTGCAAATGTTTCTGCTAGTGGTGCATAGCAAGATAGTCCCTATTTTCCCATATAAATAAATGCATTGGTACAAGAAAAACTTTCATTGTTTCACATGTGTTAGTATTTTTTCTTACATAGCCTAAATTAACATGTATATCTTGTTATATGATAGGTTTAGAAGACCTGTACTGTGGTCCGCACGAGTTCACGTGTGTACAAGCTCATCGTTGTATCCCGAAACAGAGACGCTGCGATCGTAACAATGACTGTAATGACTGGGAGGATGAAATTGGCTGTGGTAATTTACATATTCTAACTACATCTTATCATGAGTGGTATTATACACATAGACTACATTAGTATCATTAAATAGATATTTAAATATTACAAATTTATTTAGTTTGATAATGTTGGAAGCTATAAGGTTATTGCAACACTCTCGAACGCGTTCCTTGAACCAACCAGTACTAAGCAATGTGTGTAAAGTTTCGGCTTGCCCCTGACAGGGTTTGAACCCAAGCGGCCAGCAAGCCTCAGATCTTAACCAATCGGCCACGTTGCCACAAAGAGATATTTGTATTGTCAAAATTTCATAGATATAAAGTTCATTGAGGGGCACTTGATCAGTAAAGCTGGCTAGTCGCCATTTGAATATAAATAGTACAAGGATATTTTATCACTAGTTAAGCTACAAAGTCACTATATGACCATTGCAGCGTCCTGTTTCTTAAATTTTTACAAGCTGTATGCAACTGGAATAGTGTTAATTTCAAAGACTGTTTGTAAAATACTGTTGTAACAACAGTAATTTCATAATTAGTTCAACATTTATTTATTTTCTTTATGTCCTGTACTTAATTATGGTTATGAAACACTCCTGTACTAGATACAAGCTACCGGTATTATCATTAAACAATATGACCTTATAACATGCTTTATGGATGATATTTATGTGTTGTTTTTATTTTTGTTTTAAAAAATAAAACAATAAAGGAAAATGCCAAGCTTATGATCAAACATGCCATTGTGCATGATTTTTCTGTCTGAGAGGGTGCAAGTTACTTATATTTTGATATATCTAAGGCTATGATTAAGAAAAAGTCATTTGGTATAATGGTATAATAGAAATTACATTCTATAATGTCGAAATATTGAGTTATTTTTTAGCAAATGTATTCATAATATAAGCTTTGAAATTGCAGTGTCTGCTGATTCAGAAGTGAAAGCTGTATGCTTCCAAGTACAAATTAATAATTTTATAGCATTTCTATAAAGCGGCGGCCTTCAGCTTATAATTTCTGTTGGAAAAAACAATTTTGTGTTGTTTCACACTAAGTATTTTGGTAATTTTCTTTTAGAAAAGTGCACGATATAACTGTTAATCGTTCTTCAGTAGTTGTCAGACAAGAAAGCAGATTCAAACCTTTCAGCTTCTTTCACAGTTTAATTACATAATTATAATTTTAAGCTGGACTAAACTGTCAATAATAATCTGTGTATTTCAGATTTCCAGCAATTTGAAAACAAGTGTAAAGAAGGGGAGTTCCAGTGTGACCATGGTTTATGTATCAATGCTGAATGGAGATGTGACGGCCAGAGAGATTGTGAGGACTCTTCTGACGAGAAAAACTGCAGTAAGTTACAAAAAATAGATTTTATCATGGTGCAAGCCCTGCCAGGGTCACATCCATGTTTCCTCATAATGACACCAGTACTGGTTAGTTTAGAGGCGTTCAAAAAAGCTTCAAGTTTTCATAAAAACCAAGCTAAAATAAACAAACGTGTAATCACAAAAAATTTCCATGTTGTTGACATTTCAATTTCGTCTAGAAATGTATTTTTTGGATGCTATTCATAAGAATTTATTGGATTTTTACAAAGTATCTTTTGGAGCCATAGAAGATTTTTTATTAATAGCTACAGCCAAACCTTCAAATGTTGGGGTTTTTTTTAGCCAAAAAAAATAATTAAATAATACAAGAGATTTCATTAGATTTTCATGTTGTTTGAATTAGGTAGTAATTTCTTTGGCTTGATAAACACAAAAATTTAAATTAAAGTTTACGATAAAATATTTCTATGATGATGAAGTGCGCTGAACAGTATTTTTTGTACACTACATGATTGGGCCCCCATGATTATCAGATGAGGAACATGAATTAGTGAATAGTTACGGCGGATGTTTAATGCCGTTTTAAGTGGAGATAATTGTTGTATGTTTGGCAGTTTTATGAAAAGATAAATCACTGAAAATATCTAACGAGACTTTGAAATTGATACATGAGATCGCAATTTTATTAGTTTTCCTTTTTAACTCCGAGCCAATTATAAGGGTTGGTTACTAAGTACAGTCTTTACATAGTAACAAAATAAAGATAATTTTTGAAATTAGATTTTAATTTTGTTTAATTGATGAGTTTTGTTAAAATTCCATGAAAACACATCTATCTTATTACATGTATATTTAAGTGATGAATAGCATTTTTTAAGAGGTTTTCATTTTAGTAATTGTTTGTTTACAAGGGCTTTTAACTTTTTTGCTTTATACTTAAGTCGATTATTGAGTGTATCAAAATGTAATGTCCCATGACCTGCTGAATATGACTTTATGTGTACTCTTATTTTGGAACTGTCCACTCTGAAATCTAAATGATTTCAGAATCAAAATATACAAACATTGAGCTATACCAGCAGTATAGAGCTTGGTCAGACTGTATTGTTGTGCAGGCTGGTCTGGCTTTATACCGGTGGCAAAGGCTTATCACTTTTGGCTCAAGCAGGTTTACGAAAAGATTTTGTGTAATGGTGTAGTAACATTGGGATTTTTCTCAAAATATATTCCCTCAGTCACCCTTGACATAGGGATCGTGCTCAAAGTCAGGAGAGTTATCACTGTGATTCATTTCCCATGTAGATTAATTGGTAATTGGATTGAATTGAAATAAAAATTTATTTTATATGAGTAAGTCAGTCATGCATGCCATCCAGAAAGTGATATATTTTCTTTATTTTCTTTATATGTAAGTATGATTCATCTGAGAATGCTAGCGTTGATAATGATTTGCCTATTAACACTGGTATTGTGACAGGCCACCCTGCATTGTCAATACTTACTTGCCTTTTCAATTTTTAATCAGTATGGAATCAGATGAGCATGTACAAATTGACTTACATACATATTTAATATCATTTATTGAATTACTGAATTCAAAATTTATAGGTCACTTTTTAACAGATTATGACTTTTTAGTTTTTATGGACATGAATGGAAACGTGTCCGGGGTTCGTACCCCCAGTGCCCGAATGGGCAGATAGACCCCATTATGCCTAGAATAGATAAATACATGTTGTACATGCCATGTCATACCATACCATACATGAGCCTGTATGTGAGCTTGTACATCTTTGCAGTCTTACCAAGCTCTATATTGTTGTCCACATAGTTTTATGATTTTGATATCTGAAATCCCTTGAATAAACAATAGACCAGTCCATAATTCAATGCTGGGCAAGTCTATTATATAAATGTAGTGGGGATATAGGTTAGTTTATCAATAAATTGATGCGTAAATCATTGCTTTAAGATAGTTATCTTATAGATGAAAGAAATTGATATGAATTTTACCCCAGTAGTTAGTTACCCTTGACGGAGTTTAATTTCTGTTATTTATATTAAATCCTCTATGATAAAATCTTAGTTCAGGTGTTAGGAGTGCAGGATATTTCATTGTTGCTGTATTAAGTATGATTTATTATAGATAATAGGGAGACAAAAATATAATTTTAGCTATTTATTCTGTCATCTATGTTAAGATAGTGTAAATGGTTTATAGTTTTGTAAATGTCAAAGAGTGTAAATTTTAAAGTATATGAAAAAAAAGAAGAAGTGAAAAAGTATAAGTATAAAACTGTAGTGATTTAAAAATAAATTATTATTTCTCGCATAGCAATTTGAGCAATATTTACTATAGTTTACTAAAATACTTTTTTTTTTACTTATATATTGGCCATTATAGTCTTTGTCCACAAATCTATTAAATAGAGACAGCCCTTCAAATTGAAATGCATATAATTTCATCTCTTTTCCAATTGTTATAAAATAATGCATGAAAAAATTATTTGAATTAATTTGTTAAAATAAGCTTATAAATGACTTGAATCTGTCATAATTAGGATGTAAACTTTATTTTAAAATTCATTTTTGTTATTTATTCGCTAAATTTCATTTGTTTAACTGTTTGCTTTTTTTTTTTTTTTTCAAAATTACATGAGTTTATTTTGAAGTTTATTACAGTTCATAATTATGAAATTAGATTAATTTTTTCTTCAGACTAAGTAAAATAATATGTCACTAAAGGAATCAACTTCTCACTTTTCAAAATGTAGATTTTATAAATTTGACGCCTATTTCCCACCATCTCTCTATTATTTTTGATAATTTAAACTTGTGTAAGAAATTAAAGGTAATGAAATAATTTGTAGCTATATGCTGAAACAAAAAATATGTGTTAAAATTTTAAATAACATATTTATTATATAATTATAGGCTAAATCTATAAAAAAAATTTTTAATAAAATGACATTTGCTTAATACCAGCTTCTTGGCAAGATTTAACATGTTAACATTATACTATAAGGTCAAGGCTGAGGAACTGTAAAGGACATGATCAAATACAGAAACCCAGGTCTGACAGATTTTATATAATTTGCCAGGCCTTAAACTGTGTATTAGTAATAGTTGGGGTTTCTTCATAAAAATATGAAAATTGCCTTGTCAATATAGTAAAGAATTTGATCACAAAGGGCATACTATGGTGTGGTTTGGCATGAATCTTTACTGATGACATAAAGCTGTATATCTGTGGCTAATAGGTCAAAGGGTTAAAATGGCGCAAAATACTCTATATAAATTTGAAAGAGGTCAGTGGAAATTTGAAAATATACAGTGGTAAAGAACCCCAAAGTGATTTTAAATAAAGCACTTCAGTTTAGAATGGTTTTGACAGAAGGTGGAGCAATTATAGACTAAGCATGGTCACTGAGGATTATGTAAAAGCTCCTAGAAACACTAATTTTGTAATAATTAACCTAATTGTAATAATGATGTAATTGTATTATATATTACAGCCATGTCAGGATGTACAGCCGACCAATTCAGATGTAAGATTGGATATTGTATAGATAAACATCTGCGATGTAACGGACAAGTTGACTGTAGCGATAATTCAGATGAATCTAATTGTGGTATGTTCTACATGTATTAGTTTGTACTGTCTGTCTGACATTTGTGAAAGTTTTCAGGATTATTCCTGAAGTTCAGTATTTTCAGTCCCCTGAAAGCCTTCTATGTCCTCTGTAAAACTATAGAAAAACTTCTAAATTCAGGATTTTCAGGATTTTTAAAATTTTCCAACTTGCACCCATTTATACAGAATTTATTTTAAAATCAAATTTATAGGCTTCTAAACACAATCTTGAAATCTTTTCCCGGAACAAACCAGTACTGAGCAATGAGTGTAAAAGTTCTTGCTCATGGAAACAACTGCTTTCCTCTGACAGGGTTTGAATTCACTCAGCTAGCGATCCATCGATTACTAGTCCAACGTGTAAACCACTTGGCCAAGTTGCCATATCATATGTTCTATTGAAATATGATATTCTTTCAGTGTTACAAATTTATTCTTGCAGTGTAGCAATTTAACTGCTCATCCCTGAAATAAGGTCTGTCTCCACCAATAGATCTGGAAAGTCACTGTTTGACCTTTGTAGTGTCAATGCGATTTACTATTAAAAAAAAACCAGTCTTATATATTTATAACTAGGATAAAAACTTACACCTGAAGTAATGTACAGAAGGGTTTGTGAATTTTTTCCCCTCAATACACAGAAAATCTTGAAAGTGGCTATACATGTTTATCAACATACTTTTTGCTGTAATTATAGGGACATCAACATGTGGACTGGGTCAGTTTCATTGTACTAGTGGGGAATGCATTGGTAACCAGAAATTGTGTGACACAGTCAGAAATTGTAGAGATGGATCAGATGAGAGAAATTGTCGTAAGTATCTGCAATGAAGCCTAAGCTTTATAAGGTTTTTGTCCGAATAATATTTTATGATATTTTTTTAACACTTCATCTTCAGAGAAAGGCATGTTTATTTACAAACATTTACAAAATAAAAGCCATGTCTGCTGGTTCTCAAAAATTGAGAATATACATGTTATCTGCAGTATGAATATTTTTAACTTTTTAGCTTTATTCAATTAATGACTGCCACGAAAGTTGTATTTCATTATCTATCTTTACTGAACTAAATGTTATAGGTGAAATGATCTTTTTGAAATTTTTAAGAGATTACTTTTTTGCTTCAGAAATTTTTGAAGAAAGGAAGCTAATACATGTATTCAAAATTTAAATTTAAATCTCACCTTTTGTGTTTAGACTGGGCAGCAAAATGTGACAACAGTAATGGAGGTTGTCAGCATGTATGTCAGCAGACGACACTTGGAGCCAAATGTTCCTGTCACCGTGGTTACATGTTACAGCCCAATGGTCGTGACTGTGAGGATGTTGACGAGTGTGGATTAGATAATGTATGCAGTCAGCAGTGTGTTAACACACCAGGATCATTCGTGTGTGACTGTACACATGGTTATAGACTCAAACCAGATGGCAGAGGTTGTAAAGTTCAAGGTTTGTATTTTATTGTTGATTAATGGAATCCTCTTTGAACTGGTTCCCTCTTATATTTGTATTCCACATTAACCAGGGAGATTTAAAACATTTAAATTACTCATTGCTGTCTCTACATAGAAAAAGTGCTTTGTCTGGATTGAAAATCTCTCTAGTCTGGATGTGCCTGTTAAAGCAGCATGCCTTCAGATTCATGCTAATTGTCATGAAAATTTTGAAAATGTATTTAAAAGTAAAATATTGTGAAGAAAGAAAATAATTTACACATTGCAAACAGCACTGACAATCCACATAAATTACCAACATACATAAATTTCTCTTACTGCGTTAGTAACACAGTAGAATTATAGTGATTGATAATGCAAAATCAGTCATTTATCGCACATAACATGCAAATAATTAATTAAATATTGAATCTTTTTACTTTTCTATCAGTCATTTATCGCACATAACATGCAAATAATTAATAAAATATTGAATCTTTTTACTTTTCTTAAGATCTTAATACATTTTTAGCTCGACTTTTCTATGAAAAGGGGAGCTATCCTACTCGCCCCGGCGTCGGCGTTAGCGTTGGCGCCACACCTTGGTTAAGTTTTTCGTACCACCCCACTTTATTTCAGAAGTATTACAAGTATGGCTTTGAAACTTACCATACTTGTTCACCATCATAACCTCCATCTACAGACAAGAGTACATAACTCTGTCAAGGTTTTTGACAGAATTATGGCCCTTTTTTGACTTAGAAAGTGTATTGAGCTTGGTTAAGTTTTTTGTACCACCTCACTTTATTTCAAAACCATTGGAGGTATTGCTTTGAAACTGACCATACTTGTTTACCATCACGACCTTCATCAACAGACAAGAGGACATAACTCTGTCAAGGTTTTTGACAGAATTATGCCCCTTTTTGACTTAGAAAATACATTGAATATGGGTAAAATCCACTTATTGCCTTAACCCTTTGAGATATTGCTTTGAAACTTTTAATGCTATTTCACATCATTACCCCATCTGTACGCAAGAGAAGGTAACTCTGTCAGGGATTTGTTTTAAAAATTAAGGCCTTTTATCGACTTAGAATCTTGGTTAAGTTTTTTGTACCAGTCAACTTTTTGACTGAACTGGTTGAGATATTAAATTGAAAGTTGGAATACTTGTTTACCATCATGGTCCCAAACATGGGCAGGAGAAGGTAATTCTGTTAAGGATTTTATTTGAATTATGGCCCTTTTTGACTTAGAAACTCAGTTAAAATTTTCATTCTTGTCCACTTGTTGACCTAACCATTTGAGATATTACTTTGGAAGTTGGAGTTCTTATGTGCCATCATGAGACCTATCTGTAAGCAAGAGAAGATAACTCTGTGAAAATGTTTCTTGATTTGTACTTAGAAATTCCTAGTTAAAGTCTTGTGTGCCCTTAACTGTCAAAGTTTTGTTTTATAGGCAAGCACTAAAAAAGTCGAGCGCGCTGTCCTTCTGACAGCTCTTGTTTTAAAGATTGAATTTCTTGAAATATGTTGACTCATCTGGAGGTGTGCAGCTTTAACCCATATACCTTACAGAAATGTTAATTTTTTGCACTGTATACTCATAGATAAGAATTGCATTTTCCTACACCATCCCAATACTGATAAGCCAGCAATATAAAGATCATTGAACAATTACACATGACTGTGTATCATTTTAAACACCATTTGGCTTTTATCTTTTATTAATGTAAAAGAATTGATTTATTAAGAATGAAATTTCATTTATTCCAGTATAAAAATCACCTATATACTTCCTATGTTTGACTATCTTGATATTGACAGCTGAAACTGATCCTTATCTAATGCTACATTCAGGGTTTTAAGGTTTTCATACATTTTGATCATGCACCCATATGGCACTCAGTCTGTTAATTGTGTTTATACATAATTATTGAGGATTGAATATCTGGAACTCAAATTTGTAGGGGAAAAAATAAATGTATAATATTTACTTTACTGTACTGTGTATATATCAATGTTTATTTCTTTAAATTTTTTCACAGTTACGACTGGGGAGAAGGCTTACCTGATATTTGCTAACCGTGTCGACATCCGACGTGTGATGCCAGATATGTCGGAATATGACAGTATCCTACAGGGTCTGGAGAACGCCATCGCCCTGGACTTCCATCATGAGAAAGGTTACGTGTATTGGTCAGATGTTACCCTGGACAAGATTAAGAGAGCCTACCTTAATGGTACAGGTATCAAAGAGGTGGTAGCTTACGGATTAGAAAGTCCAGGTAAGGTTTTCATACTTAAGTATATAAATGATGTTCTCCCAACCAAATCAAAGGAAATATTTAAATAAAGGCATATTAGTCCTGACATGCCACTGAATACTGTTCATTGTAATATATCATGTTCAATAGTAAAAATAGGAAAATTGGGTTAATGATAAACATGCTAATACAAAGATTTTAAAGAGAAAACACAGTAAGGCACCACGAGTTGTACCTCAAGTAAAATTGCTGATTCATCATTAAATTGCTATATAATATTGCTATACATGTAAACTATGAGAGAGTCAAATTTATTGGAAATAATTTGTAGAACAAGAGGCCGTATGGGTCTTATTTGGTAAGGATAATTCTTATGATGTACTGTATTGTACCAGCTAAGTTTAGGTTCAATCTTGATTATTATTTTTTTGTTAATATTGCAATTTTTTATACTGATATAGTGGTCACAGGTATAATATTTCAATTATAGGGGGTGTAGCTGTTGACTGGATACATAATCTGCTGTTCTGGACTGACTCCGGGACATCTCGTATTGAGGTATCTAACCTAGATGGTGATCATCGTAAAGTACTATTGTGGGAAAATCTGGAGAAACCTAGGGCTATAGCTGTTCATCCGGGAGATGGGTAAGTTAATGCTCACTTTATGCAGCTATCTTTGCTCATCAATGAAAGAGGAAATTTCCAGTAATGCATTGCAAACATTAAAATCAGTTAAAAATGTTTAAGTCAACATGAATGACAAAACCCTTTCTTGCCTATTGATTTTTAAAAGTTTTGATGTTTGGATCATTATAAAATCATCCCATGATTAAGATTACAGACAAATGATAATTATAAGGTTAAAATAATTGGTTCTATTTGTATAACAAACTTTTGTTTTCATACTGCTGTCAGTTTAAAGTTACTTTAAACATACATGTATTCGTTTTTGCTTGATTGCAAAGAAGTTCTTATATTAATCTCTTTTGAGTCTGCTTCTTGGAACTAAACAGTACAGGTGTCCTATAAGGAAACATGATAGTGACCCGAATAGGGCCTGAACCTTTGATCCCTGGGTTAAGAGGCAGACACCTTAACCACTGGGCATGTGCTCCCCTCAACTTGTCATACTACTGTTGTTAAAAAAATGTTCATGTGCAGTAATTCAAAGAGGAAAGTGTTTGTTGATGATGTTAAATGTGTGAGAAATATTTCTCGTAAAATATATAGAAAAATTCACACAGATTTTGAATTCATGATAGTTCTTTTTTTTTGCAGATACATATTCTGGACAGATTGGGGCAGCACACCAAAGATAGAGCGAAGCAGTATGGATGGGCTAGATAGAGTAGTTATCGCAAACACTTCATTATTTTGGCCGAATGGTTTAACACTGGACTATGCCGCAAAGAAATTGTACTGGGCTGATGCGAAGCATCATGTGATTGAGTGTTCTAATTATGACGGCTCACATCGCAGGACTGTCATAAATCAAGGTTAGTCTCGTTCAAACATTGATATTGTAATTTAAATTGCATTAGATGATTGAATTATAAAGTTCCTTGAACTTTAAAGCACAAGGAGGCAAAAAAAATCAATTTGGTGCTTCATAACTGATATCTTGAACGCACTCCTTAGTCTGTTGTCTGCAGTGTTTTATGTCTGTTCATTTATGTCCATATTTTATGTGCCCCACTTTTGGCATGGGGGATTTAGATTTGCCCTTGTTGGTCCATCTTGCTGTCTATAGACTGACAAAACAATGGAATGTGGAGGCATCCATATCCTATAGACACATTTTGAAGTATTTAAAGCAAGCAAAGAGATTTAAATAATGGGTTATTTATAGTTTTGAGAGATTTAACTGTTTGTTAAAGACATTTCACTTAAGGCTCGTTATACTGTAACAGCAGATTAAATGCCTCTGATTAATAGATGCATAACTTGTAGAATTTTACAATTAAGCTTAAGTAAAGAGACAAAATCTGGATCTAAATAATTCATCTAAATGAATCCAAAATGTTTGACAGGACTACCACACCCATTTGCCCTGACATTGTTTGAGGACGAGTTATATTGGACAGACTGGCATACAAAGTCTATCAATAAGGCTAACAAGTTTACTGGTAATGATGTAGAGATGGTGAGAAATAGGCTACATTTTCCCATGGATATACACATCTTCCATAGGGAGAGGCAACCAGAAGGTATGTACAAGTCATTATTCTATTGTTTTAATTCCTTTTTTTCCAAGTATTTTATGTACTATCGTTTACTTTACATTTACTTTACAAAATTAATGTACATTGTATATGTCTGCACAAGTTTTTTTTTTTTTTAAAGAAGAAACTATTTTTTTGCTTGGCTTCAAAAATTATATATCTATAATTAATGCTTTGCCAAATGTGACTTAGAAGGTAAATACATTATTTCATATTTCAGCTGAAAACCGGTGCCAGGGTAACCAGAAAGGCTGTAGTCATTTATGTCTACCAAGCACTGTGGGATATAAGTGTGCCTGTCCTACAGGACTTGATCTCAAGGAAGACAGGAAAACTTGTGTCAAAAGTAAGTTTGATTTCAATTGTCTCGACAAATAATAACACAAAATTTGTGAGATAAATTTTTGTTCATGCAAATTTCGAGGGATATCCATGACTGAGTGATTAAGATTGTGGACTTCAAATCACTTGCCCCTCACTGCTGTAGGTAAAGATCCTGGTCATACACCCACTTGTCAGTGAAAAAAATGCATGGAGTGGTTGCTTGGTATTCCAACTCCAGGAAACTTTGAAAGTCACCACATAGTCTCATTCTGAGTTGGTGCAACATAAAACCCCACAAACATATCTGCCTCAAAAAGATGTTTTTAGTTGAGCAAAGTACACCTCAAGAAGAAATAATTGCATATTGATTTAAGTAGCCAAATAACAAGGGGTGAAAAACATAAAGTCATTGCACATATAACATGAATGTATCTTAGGTGATATCTTATCACTATTTACCTTGAATGAGAACTCTTCAATGCAATTTTTAGTGCATTCCATAAGGATTAAGATGTTAAGATTTCTTAAAATAACTTGAAGTGCTTTCTCAACAATCTACTTTAAATATATTTGAAAGGAGTATGTTCACAGCTTGGGCTTTTGATAGTTTATAATTCTATTTTTAAAAAAAGAAGCACCTGTTACCTATAGAAGATACTGGAAATTATCCTTTTAGTTTTTCAGGAAAAATAAATTTAAACATACTGATTATTATTTCAGATATTGAGTCTTTTCTGCTGTTCACAACTCGGTCTGATGTAAGAAGGATAACTCTTGGTACACCAGATCAGTCAGATGTAGTTATTCCCCTTAGTAACACTGTCAGTACAATGTCAGTAGACTTTGATGATAAAACAGACACTATATTCTGGACAGATAGTGGTTCTAATGCCATTAGTGCTGCAAAATGGGACGGAAGACAAGAGAGGGTATGTGTCAACACACTATAACAAGAAAAAAATCATTTTGGTTAAATGCAGGTTAATGTGAGGAAGCTATCCAGCTAGCTTATGAAATGTAGGTGGTTCTACTCAGGTGCTCATTTGTGCCTGAAATTAGGTACAAAGGTGCTTCCTGCACTAATAAAGCTGGAAAGTCACCATATGAATTTAACAGTGTTGGTGAGGTGTAAAATCCAGTGAAGATTATGCAGATAATCATTTTAATAAGTTTAATAGAAAATGGCAAAAAATTGTTACTAAGGTAATCCAAAATTATTTGTCATTCAAAGAATGTCCATACTTAAAGAAAGCTGATATGTTATTGATTAATGTTAATAATTTCTCAATTAATAAACTTGACCTTTCAGAAAGTATTCAGAATATTTAACCCTTTCATTTAATGGTTTGTGTTTTGTTTTTGTTTTTGTTTTTTTTTTTAAGAAAGAAAAAACAACTCTTAGTTTAGGTTATTTGAAGATCAAGTGTTACAGGCGTTCTATCAAGATATGTTTTGGTATATTTTGATATTTTAAGTTGAAAAAGTCTTCAGATATATAGAATTGCAATGAAATGATTCAAATTTATAGTTAATTATTTCTATAAAATCTGGCTATCTATATCTTATATAGGTAGTTGTGAGTTCAAGTGTAGGTAGTCCAGCAGGTCTAGCTGTGGATTGGGCCACAAGAAAACTGTACTGGACCGACTCTGAAATGGGTAGAATTGAGGTTTCAAACCTGGACGGATCTATGAGAGGTGTCCTGATCTGGTCAGGGTTGCAGAAACCTAGAGACATAGTAGTTGATCCAATCTCAGGGTAAGTTGAAGTGTTTGCTTTCAAATAAACAATTTTTTTTTTTAAAAGTGCTTTTCAAACAAATGATTTGTTTTTAGATATCTAGAAAGTGCTTTTTAAACAAATGATTTTTTTTTGATATCAGGAAAAAGCAGTTTAAACAACTGATTTGTTTAGGTATCTGAAAATTGCTTTACAAACTAAAGTGTTTTTTTTTAATATCTGGAAATTGCTTTACAAACAATTCTATGATAATTATATCAGTGCTTAAACAACATGCAACCTAATATTTGACATGTAAAGAAGAAAAAATAGTGTTTGTGTTAAATTTTATTGGCTCTACTTTTAAGTACTCGTACAGTATATTTAGATTGACATGGTTAATCGGTATTTACTTATTTTTTGATATTACATAAGCCAAATTTATGTCATTTTACAAAAGTTCATCAATATTTGTAAGAAATGCATACAATGAGACAGATAACACTTGAATGCAATTTCAAAACAATAAACTTAAACGAAGCATATAATTAGTTTCTTTAGTTTAGATGTACTCAATTTAATTTTTAGTCTTCTGGTAGCAACAGATTCTACCCATGCGGCCAGTGCAGACCAAGATCTGTCAGCACATCCATGCCATCTGATCTTGGTCTACACTGTTCGCTATTCAGTCAGTACATCTTCGAATTTTTTCCCTTAAAAGATGAATGTTATTGTCCAGATTTTACGATTTGATATGTCCATTTAATTATGATTTTAGTTAGGGTTATGGATAAGCATTTATATTTTATAGGTATATGTTTTGGACTGACTGGGACAAACCACCAAGGATAGAGAGAGCTGGTATGGATGGAAGGGATCAGAAAGTCCTCATTCACTCAAACCTAACTCACCCTAATGGTCTGTCTATAGATTACAGAGGTTCACCTAGACTATACTGGATAGATACAGGCAGTTACTCCCTCGAGTCTTGTACACTCGATGGATCTGGCAGGAAGGTGAATGGAAATTTTGATATTTTTATAGGCTTGACTGCCTTCACCTGTAAAAGCTAAAAAGTTGCCATATAACAATAATTACGTCATAATACCTATTACCCCTACACAAAAAATCTTAAGCAAATTGGTTTTCTCATCATTTGTAGGGTGAATTAAATGTATAGTACCTTTGTAAAGAGAGCAATTTTGGTTAAGAAAAAAGTAGAGAGAAAACTATCAAATATACTGATTATGTAGAAAGTTCTCTTGAACTTGTATGATTTCTTGGTGATATTATTGGTCCATTGGAATACATATGTATGTAGCTTTAAATTGAATGATTTTGATTGTTCATTTTGGACAGTAAATTCTGAACTTACTCAGAAATATTCATCATCTTTTATACAAAATGATCTTCTTCATCATTTGTAGGTGGTATTCACCATGAGTGATCCACGACCATTTGGATTTACTGTTTACGGAAACAGCATGTACTGGGCAGATTGGTTAACAAAGAAGATAATGACATCCGACCGCAGTGGTAATAGCCAGTCAACCTTGCAAAGTAACATGGGAAATGTGATGGACTTAACTGTCTTCCATAGGAACAGACCTGACAGTAAGTTGATATACTTTTTTCAGTTTCAACAATTCAGTACATAAAACTACATAAAAAAACAAAGCAAATTTTTTTTAATTAATTCGAATTTGAATATGTTCTTGAAGTTTAATTGACAAGTTTCATTATTAATTATAATAATATTAATAGGGAAATAAAGTTAATTGTTTTCACCTTTTAGCCAATTCCCAATCCACCATTTAAAATTCATGTAACACAGAGGTAAATTTAATGTAATGCTTTGTAGAGAGAGCTTATTATTAGGTTAAGATCAAGCACTTAAGATCAAGCACTTGAGAATACCTGAAATAATGCATGGAAGAGCACCTTGTGTATTCCTCCACTACTTACACCACCACTTACAATGTAACATATAATCATATCCTAGTCATGTGACCCAGGTCACATGACCCATTCACCACACCATTGTTGTTTAAAACCCTACAATGTATAAAAGTTAAGTTCATGTATAAGATAGCAAAAATCTTTGTTCTTCAGTATCAACAGTATGTCAGGAAGAAAATGGACAGTGCAGTCACCTGTGTCTCCCAGCCCCTCTACCTAGGGGACACACCTGTGTTTGCCCGACAGGGATATTATTACACCCAGATTTAAAGACTTGTAACTCAGGTATGTTACTCTTTATATACTCTCTAGTCATGATATTTATTTTGATATGTCTTTGATATATGTAGTCATTCTAAGAAGGTAAGAGAAAGGAAAATTATATTAATGCAAAGTAACTCTTAATATTTGTATAAGGTATTAGATTGGTTTCTGCAATATTAAGCTCACCTGGTGGCATTAATAATAAAAATATTACTTGGTTTCAGTTGAGTTATCCAGGGCCCTCTGTAATACATTGATAAAATTAATTTGAAAAATTTAATCTAAAGCTAACTGGATCATTATATTTTAAAATGAGGTACATGTAGTAAGTAAACTTATTAGTTTCAATGAAAAACAATCACTTGATCATTGATCACCTTATATATTAAAATCTTTTATGTTTTTCAGAAATGCGAAATTTTCTGATCTTTGCACAGCGTACTGATATCAGGAAGATCTCATTGGATGTGGACTACTTTGCTGATGTTCCTCTACCAATACATTCCCTCAAGAATGCCATTGCAATAAGTGTGGATAGAGTGGATGGTAAAATATGTTTATCTGTTTTGTTGGATACTAAGTCATAGCAACACAACACAACAACGTTTATTGTTCATTCAGTACTTATTTTGACATTTTACCTAAAAATTGTGAATAGTTTTGTCCAGATTTAGAGATGGACACGTCCATTTAAGATGTTTAACATGGTTAGGGTTAATTTGAGAGAACAAACAGAACATCAGTCCGCTAGACAAACATTTCACTTTCCCAGTTGAATTATAGTAAGGCTGAAAAGCTCACTTTGACAGATCTCTGATCAGCATATCTTGTCTACCGAAATATCTTTACAGACTTGCACTTGAATGATATATAGTGAAAGGTGCTGATGGTAAAAAAAGTAAAAATGTTGATTTATATGATTTTTGCAAAATTTAATATAGCTAGATCTGTGGTATTGCAATGTACTATTTAGATCTTTGGTATTGCAATTTACAATTTAGATATGTGGTATTGCAATGTATGATTTAGACCTGTGTATGATTTAGATCTTTGGTATTGCAATGTATGATTTAGATCTCTGGTATTGCAATGTACAATTTTGATCTTTGGTATTGCAATTTACAATTTAAATATGTGGTATTGCAATATACAATATGATTATTAATGAACATTGTTTATGTTTATACAGGGAAGGTATATTGGACTGACACAGTATTAGATAAGATAAAGCGAGCCAACCTGAATGGTTCTAACATAGAGAATGTGGTGACACATGGTTTAGATACACCAGATGGTATGGTGGTGGATGAGATAGGCAGGAAACTATACTGGACGGATACTGGTATGTTTAGTCATAGCTGATTGTATCATAGTTTCTTTCTGTCACTGACAAGTATCTAGTGTATAAATGGTTAACACATAAGTGTATCGACATGGAAATATTGGCCAATTTCTCTTAATGATGAAAATTGCTAAAATTTCCTCGAGCCTAAATATCACCCAACCAGTTTTCAGTTTTCGCACTACTACGGGGATGATGATTTGCTAATATTTCCATATGCAAAATGTCTGGAATTTTAAATTCGCTAACTTTTCGACATGCAGAAATATTCACTAAAACAGTTTGGTATCATTGTTTCTTCATTGAGTTCTTCTTATCATGTGAAATGCAAAGGGAAAAGCAAAAAGGAAATTAAGATGAATTCATCTTCAATTGTGGAGACTACCTAAATCAGGGGTCTTATTGAATGTAATTAGTTTTCATGTGGGTATTACAGGTTAAAAAAATAGTTGAGGTATCATTAATAACTAGCTAGCTAGTATTATAATAGAAGCTATTTCTCAGTGTGATATACCGCCTCCATGGTCAAGGGGTAAGAGTCGATGACTTCTAATCCAGTTACCTCTCTGGCATGGGTTTGATCCCCGGGAGATGCTTTGGTAGTTTAGCACGGAGGAAGGTAGTCTAGTACTGGTGTAACTCTCCAGGAACGATGGTTAGGAAACTACCCGCCTATATGACTAAAATACTGTTAGGAAAAGGCGTAAAATGAAATAAACAAACAAACAATATTAATAGACAGGAATGTTTTTTAATGAGACTGTGTGAAATAAAGTCTTGTTTTAGTTACAGGTATTTTTTTATAAATTACATGTATTTGTAATTATTTTCATGAAAAGGTTTAAATCGTATAGAAGTGTCCAATCTTGATGGTACAATGAGAAGAGTTTTGATATGGGAAGGGCTTGACAAACCAAGGGCAATAACTCTATTCTATGAGGAAAGGTAAATTATCTGCACTATTCTATTATGTGACATAGTAAATGAATATAATTATAATCTTTTGTCTTGAAGTTTTTACCACTCTAGCATGAAGTTACACAAAGACTTTATAATTTACATATAAATATAAATAATTCAATTTAATATTTCTAAAGAGAAGGTATGAAACTTAATTTATATTTATGGTAATTTTTCTAAATTTGGAAAATTGAAATTAAGTTTACAATTTGCAAAACTTTGGTTAAAAAATATGAGAAGGCTTGTGAATGCCCCAACTGTTTTTCAATTCATTTTCAAAGTTTTTCCACAAGATGTAAGAAGAAAGATATTTTTTTCCATGTAGAATATTTTATAAAATGGGAATTAAAAAGGACAACAATTGATACTTGATTTATGAAATCTAAGTTGTTAATTTTTCTCTATATTTTTCAGGTATTTATACTGGAGTGACTGGGGTAAAGAACCAAAAATAGAAAGATCAGAGTTAGATGGTAATAATCGTAAAGAGATTGTCTCTGAAAATATAATCTGGCCAAATGGACTGACTATTGACCGAGAAACATCAAGGATACTATGGGCAGATGCAAGAACTGAGGTATGGTTCATAACTCTTATTTAATTTCAATGCTTTTCTTGTACGGATACAATATTCTGAATGGTGAAATATGTCTCTGATAGTTAAAAGGAGTCAATGATGGTGCTTAAGTTTAAATGTCCTTAAATATTCAAGGACTAAAGGCCTCCAGAAAAACATGGTTATTTGATCAAAAAAACAAAATTTTTCAATTTGGGAAGTGTGTTAATTGTTTTTAGGCCAGAGTTTAAAAATTCTTTATATTCAGTAGATGTAGTTTCAATGTTTGATTGAATGTCATGATGTAGTATTCCTATTTCGTAATCAAGGTTATTTTATGTTATAGCAAATAGAGTCAGTTGACCTTAATGGAGGCGGGAGAAAGGTGTTGGTGAAAAAGGTAGCTCACCCCTACAACCTGGCAATATCTGGTGATCTAGTATACTGGACGGACTGGCAGAAGACCGCAGTATTCAGTGCCAACAAGGATGGATCAACACCAGATAAACAGGATCAGGTGCTCCCTAAATTGGCAGGAATCATGGATATACATGCTGTCCATATGGATGAGAAAGGTACAGACTAATACACTTTCCATTGTAAAATATTAACTTTATATGAAAACAGTCTTTGATTGATTTGAAATACTAAAATAGTAGATTATTAGTCCCCTACCGGTTTACCGGAGGGGACTTTAGGTTTACCCTCCGTCCGTCTGTCTGTCTGTCCATCCATCAGTCCGTCCGTCCGTCTGTCCGTCCGTCAGTCAGTCCGTCCGTCCACAAAACTGGATCCCGCGATAACGCAAAAAGTACTGAAAATATTTTAATGAAACTTGATATATGGATAGATGGCAGTATGGAGATTATGCACATCTTTTTCTTTTCTTCCTATGTTAAAAATTCTGGTTGCTATGGCAACAAATAGACTGAAAATATGGCAAATTTTACACATAACCTGGATCCCGCGATAACGCAAAAAGTACTGAAAATATTTTTATGAAACTTGATATATGGATAGATGGCAGTATGGAGATTATGCACGTCTTTTTCTTTCCTTCCTATGTTGAAAGTTCTGGTTGCTATGGCAACAAATAGACTGAAAATATGGCAAATTTTACACATAACCTGGATCCAGTGATAACACAAAAAGTACTGAAAATATGTTTATGAAACTTGACATATGGGTAGATGGCGGTATAAAAATTATGCACATTCTTTTCTTATCTTCCTATGTTGAAAATTCTTGTTGCTATGGCAACAAATAGACTGAATTTCAAGATTTCTGATTCTAGTTTTTAAGTTTTTTCACTATAAGTTCTTTATTTCTTAAGGTATTTTCTTCAAACTTTAAATATAAATTGCTTGTCATCAACCACATCATATGTGACAAGGTTTACAACTCTAGCACAAAATTTTTCAGAATGACCTCCCTTGAACTTAAAATTTTCATGAAAAAAAACATTGTTTTTTTAAAAACTTCTTTTTCTGAATGTATCTACTTCAAACTTCATATAAATGTTTCTTATTATCACTCAACATTTGTGAGTGTTCAATACTCTAGCAAGACTATTTCCAGAATTATGCCCCTTTTGAACTTAGACTTTTTTTGAGAAATTGGTAATTTTTACTCCAACTTCTTCAATCATGATAGGATTTTAAAAATGTTATATTTTGATAACAGGGATGTTTAAAAAATAACTTTAGAGTGTCCTTCAGTCCGTCTGTCTGTACATAAAAACTGTTTCCTGTGATCACTTTTTAAGAACTTTTTCGACAAATTTACTTAAAATAGGAACCTAAGTGAATGGCCAATGGCCCTTCAGAATGTTGCTTGGGCTCTTACCGGTAGGGGACTTATGGATTGCTTGCAATACTATGATAATTGCTTGTTTGAGTAGTTGTTCTTAGTTTATGAGTGTTATATTCATAAAGAATTTGTAGTTTGAAAAAAGTAGGGAGTTTATTGTTGAACTTACTTATTGAATTTTGTTTGAACTTTCATACAAAACTGTTTTAAAATCTCCAAAAATAGATCTTTCTGGAAAATTCCATACTGGTACAAGTTATAATTAAGGAAACACGATTTTCATAAAATGTTATAGAAATTTCATTCCTGCATTTGACAATTTAAACTATAGTTACCATGCATTGAGGAGATAACAAAATAAGAACCTTGCTTTTTATTAAAATATTTTGAATAAGAAACAAAGAAATTATCACTTTCTTTATATTTCAGTCAATTTGAAGATGGATAAATGTCGTAGAAAGAATGGAGGCTGTAGTCATTTATGTTTACCAAACAGACGAGGTGTAACATGTTCGTGTCCATCTGGGCTTCAGTTACGACCTGATAAAGTTAGCTGTGAAAGTAGTAAGTGTTACATTCACTATCTCCACAGGCTCGATTATAACACTTTCTTAGACATATTTAATGTAATATTCTAACACTCTTTGTGATTTAGTCACTATACACAAAGAAGAAGAAAAAAAACATAGTTTAGACTTACCTGCCAATAAACACTGGTTAGGGACAACATTTACATACAGCTATTATTTTTTCTCTGATTAAATAATTTACAAAGCCTTTTTGAGGCACCAATCATAATGTATTTTATTGAATACTTTTGGTTCTTATTTTGTATTCTTAATATATGTTGTTTTGATAGGTTAAAAATTAAGCATTTGGGCCTACGGCTTTTGTGGTCAATTCCTACGCATCAAAACTTCAGACCGGTGTTAAATAGCCAATAAAACTGCTGAGACTGATATTATTTTTTAAACATTTTGTGTAGGATACTATATATGTTTCTCTTCAGAAAATGTATGTAATATTACAGCATTAAGTTCATTTCAAAAAAACAAAACTATGCTAAGAATTTTGAAAGAATTTGGACATTGGCATATATTAGAGTTTATTTAATTTTACAGTGCCAGAAGAGTATATATTATTTGCAAGTCGAGGTAGTATCCGGAGGATAGCTCTAGATTTACCAGACATGACAGATGTCTATCTACCATTACCTGACCTACAGAATATCATAGCTATAGATTATGACTACTCGGATAAGAAGTTATATTATACAGATGTACAGCTAGATGTTATAAGGTTTGTAACATTTTCCCAACTTGTAGCTAACGTCACTCACATAATTAAATATTTGACATATTGAAACAAGAAATAGTTGCTATTTGACAACATTGTTACAGTTTAGCACTGAAAATGTCTCTTGAGCCTTTTTGACCTCAAATATTTTGTCATATTTTCATGCTTTCTGAAATTTTTTCGTTAGAGCACATGATTGCCAAATAGTCCTATGCATTCACTGTTTCTCATAACATCTTTATTTATTGACAGTTACCGTACATCATTAGATTCTGTATTGATTTTCAGGTTGAACTTATAATACTTCTGTATTAATCAGTTTTGATGTTTTAATTCAAATTCACTTAACTCTCAAACCATCTAGATAACATTATAAAGACTGTAGATTTTAGAATATATTAGTGCTATGGGTGACTATTCGGAGAATTAAGGTTATTTGTAAACCCCTACTCTACTACAATGAGTAAAGTTAGGAGTAACCCAAAAAATTTATCTGACAAAAGCAAATGATAATTTCTTTCTAATTTTTGGTGTATGATAAATTATGTTTTTCTTTTGACAGACGGGCAAATTTAAATGGCACAGATATAGAAACTGTGATTAGTTCTCGTCTGAAGACAACAGATGGTCTGGCTGTTGACTGGATAGGTAAAAATCTGTACTGGACGGACACAGGGACAGATGTGATTGAGGTGGCCAAGCTGACGGGTCAGTATAGAAGGACACTTATCAAAGACAATCTGGATCAACCAAGGGCAGTTGCTGTGTATCCACAAAAAGGGTAAGCCAGTTACTGCCTTCTGTTTAGAATGTTAATTTAGTGATAACTTTCTTATAAAAAATTGGTGAAGTATAGAATGATGAAAGGAAAGTTGGTTTGATTTCTGTCACATGTTTTGGTTGATTAAATTATTCTTTTAGCTGATTGTCATGTAGGAAAATAAATACAGTGAAAAGGCTTTATGATAATATTGTTGATAAAATCGAAAAAAGGGCAAAATGAACTTTATTCTCCAGCTGAAAGTTTATGAGCAATCTAATCTGCATGGTTACAATTTTTCATGTACAAAAATTTTTTTGGAAACTGTTCTCAGGAAATCTACTGGTTGGGGACCACCAAAACCGGACAACCACCAAACCCGGACGGCCCCGAAAATGCTTAATTTAGTATTTTCTTTGTTCAGTGGTTGTCAGTCACTTTTTTATCAACAATAAGTGCATGTTTCTTTTAAAATTAAGTGAATAAATTTATTTCAACCTCCTTAAATGGTAATATTTTAATGTCTATTTCAAAAATGTTGACGTTGAAATTCGGGGGTCAAGAAAGCAATGCCTGACCTCATATACCAGTTATAATAATTTGCAGAGTGAATAATAGAATATCCAAAACTTCAGCATTGTTGCCGACATATTGTATATCATGTTACAAATCAAAAATCAAAACACCCAAGCTTTTATCTGAATTAAATCACATCATGTACATATCTGTCCGGACACATGGTACTGTAGTGTAGACAATTTAGGTAATTTTGATACCCTCCTTGTCGAGCCTCAGATATAAATGTCAATAAAATCAGAAATAAACAAACTAGTTTGTTAGTTAGGAGAAGAACCTAGCTGAACTATGTAAAATTTTTTGGTCTCTAGGTAAAAAATTATGAAATCTGTACGGAAAAATGTTCCAAAAGTGTCCGGTTGATGGTCTCCGACCAGTAAGTGTTGCAACCATTTTGTTTAATTATTTATTTATTTTATTTATTATAAAACTTGTTTCTGAAAAGAAAATCAGTTATATTTTACACCTACATTTTTACAGATATCTATATTGGACGGACTGGGGTTATCAACCTCGAATAGAGAGAGCATACATGGACGGTACTCACAGAAAAATCATTATCAACTCTAACCTGGGTAAGTTAAAGTCATAAATATTTTTCAAAGGTTATTCATGTTAACTAAGGCCTGCATGCTCCATATAATAAGTGTCCTGATACCGTTTAAAATGCATACATGTATAAATGTATAAAGCTAGTTTAATAATGAAGGCTCTTGCTGTAATGAGAAATAATTGGTGATAAAGTTAGTAAAATGTAAGCAAAATGGTATTATTTTGGAATGCCATACAAAATACTAAATCACTGCAGAACACAAAAGATAGTTAAGCTATATGAATATGTCCAATGAGTAACTTTCTGGAAATTGTAATTTGGCACCAGAAATAAAAGTTTTAAAGATAAAAACTATTAGCATCTTTGAAGCTTTATGAGGCATTAAGAACTTTTCTTTGTCCACAAATGATAGTTTTACTAATCATATAATTATGTACTCATGTAGTTATTAATTGTTTTGAGTTCACAACAAAAAAAGCTTTAGGGATGACTTTTGGTATGAAGATGAGCTTTTGAGATAGAGGGATACTGTGATGTCAGTAGTTCAGCATCAGTGTTTCTTTCTCTTTTTTATGCTCCCCGAAAAATTTCAGGGGAGCATATAGTCGCCGCCTTGTTCGTCCGTCCATCCGTCCGTCCGTCCGTCCCCTTTTCTTGTCCGGGACATAACTTTGAAACAACAAGAGGTATCAACATGAAACTTTGTAGGTAGATAGATCTCATTGAGTAGGTGTGCAGTGCACAAGAACCGTAACTCTGCCTTGCCTAATTTTTGAATTATCCCCCTTTGTTTATTTTACACTTTGAACTTTGTCCGGGACATAACTCTAAAACTATAATAGGTATCAACATGAAACTTTGTAGGTAGATAGATCTCATTTGGTAGGTGTGCAGTGAACAAGAACCGTAACTCTGCCTTGCCTAATTTTTGAGTTATCCCCCTTTGTTTATTTTACACTTTGAACTTTGTCCGGGACATAACTCTTAAACTATAAGAGGTATCAACATGAAACTTTGAAGGTAGAAAGATCTCATTGAGTAGGTGTGCAGTGCACAAGAACTGTAACTCTGCCTTGCCTTATTTTTTAATTATCCCCCTTTGTTTATTTTTACACTTTGAACTTTGTCCAGGACATAACTCTAAAACTATAAGAGGTATCAACATGAAACTTTGTAGGTAGATAGATCTCATTGAGTAGGTGTGCAGTGCTTAAGAACCGTAACTCTGCCTTGCCTAATTTTTGAATTATCCCCCTTTGTTTAATTTCACACTTTGAACTTAGTCCAGGACATAACTCTAAAACTATAGGAGGTATCAACATGAAACTTTGTAGGTAGATAGATCTCATTAAGTAGGTTTGCAGTGCACAAGAACTGTAACACTGTCTTGCCTACTTTTGGAGTTATTGCCCTTTTGTTCATTTTGACACTTTGAACTTTGTCCGGGACATTACTCTAAAATTATAACAGATATCAACATGAAACTTTGTAGATAGATAGGTCTCATTGGGTAGAAGTGAAGTGCTTAAGAATCATTACTCTGCCTTGCCTTACTTTGAAATTATTGCCCTTTGTTTATTTTTACTTTTTGACTTTTGTCCGGGACATAACTTTAAAACTATTAGAGATATCAACATGAAACTTTGTAGGTAGCTAGATATCATTGGATAGAACTGCAATGCTTAAAGAACCTAAACAAAGCCTGGTCTAATTTTGGAGTTATTGCCCTTTGTTCATTTTTGCACTTTGAATTTTACCAGGGACATAACTCTGATATCATCAGGAAACTTTATAGATAGATAGATCTCATTGAATAGAAGTGCAGTGCAAAAAAAACATAACTCCGCCTTGCCTAATTTTGGAGTTTTTGCCCTTTGTTCATTTTTTTATACTTTCCTGTGTCCAGAACCTTCTCGGGGAGCATCACCCGGTTCAACCGGTTCTTGTTTCTTTTAGCTCACCTGTCAGGGTGGTCATTGTTTTTCCCTTTATGTATATAGTAAAAACTTAAGTCTTCTTTTGAAGAACACAAAGAGCTAGAGCTAAGGTATTTAGCATGAAACATCTTCTAATGGGTGTCTACCAAGTTTGTTCAAATAAGGGCCCTGGGGTTAAAATTGGCCCCGCCCCGGGGGTCATTGATTTTCCTTGTATGTGTATAGTTAAAACTTAAAGAATCTTCTTTAAAAAACCCAAAAAAAGCTAGAGTTAAGATACTAAGCATGAAATATCTTCTAGTGAGTGTCTACCAAGATTGTTCAAATATAAGCCCCGGGGTCAAAATTGGCCCCGACCGGGGGGGGGGGGGGGGGTCATACTTTTTCCCTATATGTGTATAGTAAAAAACTTTAAAAAGTCTTCTTTTAAAATCCCCAAAGAGCTAGAGCTTAGATATTTATCATGAAATATCTTCGAGTTTGTTCAATTAAAAGCCCTTTTGTTAAAATTAGTCCCACCCAGATGGCCTATATACATGTGAGCGATTTCATGGCCATGATGGCCCTCTTGTTTGTTTTTTTTATTAACTGTTCAAATGTACATCAAATTAAACCTGTTACTATATCATGTTCCTTCTAGTGTAACATTTTAACTTTGATTTATATTAAGTATATAAAATATGTTTTCTTCCTTTCACATTTCCTTTGGTTTCATTTTTTATGTCTAATGGCTTTACAAAATCATGTAGATTTGATAGGGTGTGTTGGTTACCGTTTGGTAGCTATATTAAATGGAAGGTCTCCTATTAAAAAAAAAAATCCCTTACTTTTACATATAATACAATCCTGACAAGGTAATAATCTCTCAAGACTAAAAATGGAGCACCAGACTGGAAAACAATTTTATTATACCCAAACTACTTAGAGCAAGTCATATAGATTTGCCTGTGTGCATCTGTCTGTCCTGCTACAATGCTGTCCACCTATAGACAATTTTCTAGTTAAGTAATCAAATGTATAATGTATGCTATTTAGAAAAGATTTAACTCACTACATTGTCTGTGCAGTACCTCTAGACACTTTCAGAAATCATGATCACATAGTTGAAAAATATCACTTTTTTTCCCATTCTTACATTTTTCATTCATGATCGTATATAAATTGGTGTGAAAGAGATAAATTAGACATCTTGAAGTTCATTTTGGCCGTAGAAGAGGCAAGATTTTGGCATTTAATCATTCAAGTGCCTTGTGCGGTATATACCAAAATACAGTATTTAGTGTGGTGCTCCAACACTTATTTTAGTCTCTCACTCATAAAGAAAGGCTTAAGACTGTACTTTTTCTGTACAATGATTTAATTTGGAATAGATTTATGATTATTAAAATTAGTATTATATATATATTAGAACAGTATATATGTATATATTAAGCCAGACTTATAAATTGCATGAAACTTTCAAAGTATTTAGTTTTTTTAATTACCAAGTACACATTTTCCTTATGACCTAATGCAAAAATAATATCTTAAAAACCCTTCAAGAGGCATTTTAATATTTTCAAAACAATGCAATTTTTTTAATTTAAATATTTTTGTTTTGATATTTGTGTGATTGTTTATTTTTCCTGTTATCGTGAATCACTTCCTCCCATTTGAATTAGTCATACAAAGTTTCCAAGTAATACAAATAAAAACTGTTTATATAGTTCATTCTTATTTTTAAACAGCATGTCTATTTAAACAGCATGTCTGTTTAAAAGATATAAAGGCAGATTTCAGATAAAGTGATTGTCAAGTACTGATAATGCATTCAAATATAGCTGATAGCTATAAAGTTTCTCATCCAATTTTTTAATCTTACAAAATGACGATGTGCAGCATAAAGTAAACAGTTATATGCACACATTTAAGACAGGCTTGAGCTAGCATATAGTACATCCTGGATCTAAAAATAAAAATTTATAAGTTTAAAAGTTTAAGTGCTGGTCTAACTGGATTATTTATGGATTATGTAGCCTGTTTTAATTGAATACGATTGTATAGAATAACTGTTTTAATTGAAAGAGACTGTTAAGTTTAAGGTATTAACTTACCTGCTATGAAAGTAATGTGGTATTAAAAACTATGTGTACTTAGGTGTCAGAGTTTACTGATATTTAGGTTAACATTTATAAAACATTTACATATCGTGTGACATATGATAAAATGGTCTACTACTTCTATATTAACCTGATGCTGAAAAGGACTTGTTAATTATTTATGTTTATTAAAAAATAATCAACAAAACTGTGAACTTCTGATTAACAAAGTTAACTTATATTAAAGTTAACATTACTGAAACATTTTGCGTTGGATAAAAAATCAGTCTAAGAACAAACATGTTGCTCCTTCAACAAACTATGAACTTGCTTCATTTTCTTGCTGTTTTTACGCATGAAAAGATTTCAAAATGTTCACAACATATGGACAGCAGTGCATGCACACAACATTACACGTGGATTGATGAACCTTGCGAATGGTGCCCGTTAAATAAAAAGTGCTATGAAAAATGTTCTACAGACAATATTTGTACCAACAAAAGTGCCAGCTTTTTGTCTGATTGTAAGAAGATAAATGCACAGAATTATTCTTATAATGTTGATGAAGCTTATAAACTGGCAAAGTTTTCGGCTGTAGCATATTCGGATGAACCAATGAAATGTTTAAACAAGTTGTTTCCAGGAAGCGATTATATGCTGTTCTATGTCTATTTCAAGAAGTGTGATAACTATTTGTTTAAATATAAAAACAAATGTTTAGCCTTTGCAACGTTTTCACATCGGAACCGTGAAATTATTGTAGCTTATCGCGGAACAAGAGGGATGAAGCAAATCGCGGATGAAGTTCTCACAAGCCTTGGAACATCGCCTGTGTCAACTGCTATTGGCGGGAAAGTGGAGCGGTACTTTTATAATGTACATGAAAAATCCTATTATCATATAAAACACATGATTAAGGATCTGATACACTGGTATCCAAACTACACTGTGAAACTAACAGGACATTCACTAGGGGGTGCTGTTGCATCAATTTCAAGTGCAATGCT